ACTTGAGCCATAAATTGCTGCCAAGTGCTCAGTGAGGTCAAGGGAAGGAGTCAGCAATCCCTGGGCAGTTTTATGATCTCATTTAGTTCCTCAGGTGCATCAGCCTGGGGTTCACACAGTCCCTGACACACGTGCTTGGCCAAAACCTGGGAACAGGAATATGTGGGTTGCAGAATAAACCGTGGACAAGGCAGGAATGTGGGCTCTTACCAACCCTCTATTGGCTTGAATTGCTTCCCTTCCCTGTCCTGCAGAGCCAGGGCTCCAGCTGATAGAGATCAGCTGAGTATTTTCCTCCTGGCAGCACTATCAGCAGGGAATAAAGTCCTCAGAAATGTGCATTAATCATCTGGGAGGAAGCATTTGCACCCCCCCGGGCACAGCTGAATTTTTGCCTTGAGGTGTGTTAGTTTTGCCTCCCGAGTTAAAGCAGCAGCTGGATCAGCAGAGCCAGGGGCAGAACTCCTGGCCAGCAGGGTCTGGAGCAGCAAACCCAAGGGGCAAGTGTGGCCAGGACCTGCTCACATTCCCTTGGAGCACCATCCAAGGGGAGCCTGGGTGGTGTTTGATGCCCTGGCTTCTGCCTGACACCCTCCCTGCCTTCAAAACCACCAAATCATTCCTTCAGGCTGTGAGCTGAGGGCCAGAAAACAGCTGGGGAGAGGAATTTAAGCTCCAAGGTGTCTGCTGGGGTCGTGGAACACCGTGGGAGCTGCAGTTTTCCCGCAGTTGATTTCCTCAAGTCAGCTTGTGGCCCGTGAGCACCGAAAGCTCCTTTGAACAAGGAGGATGAGCCTTCCCAACACCCCTTGATTGGCAATTGTGATAAATCCCTGTAATTGCCATCGACTGCCCGGGAGGGTTTTCATTTGTTGAAGGTGCTGCTGGAATGACACGGAGTAAAACAGGGGAAATTCTTGTCTGTGCAGAGTTCCCTGGGCAGATCTGTGATGAGCCACAACCCTTCCCCCTCTCTCTGCACCATCAGCTCGCCCCTCACCCTCAGATCACGCCCATGGAAGTGCTTTTTGTTCTCTTTTCTGGCCAGGTACTTTCCAAGCCCTGTCATTTCTTATTCAGTCCCTGTGCTGGAACACGGAGCAGTGTGTGCTTGAACCACACGGGGTTTAGGCAGAGGAATAAAATATTTACCAGTGTGAACCCTTTCACCAAGCACTGGTGAAATTATGAGCCTCGTGCAGAAGCACCCTGATCTCTTTTTTTTTTTAAAAGCCACAGGTTTTAGCAATGCTAAAAGACACGGTCAGCTTCATCTTCTGGGTCTGCAAGTCCTTGTTCTGTGTTTTCAAGCTCTTTTTTTTTTCGTTTCCCTTCCCCTGCCTTTGAGAAGAGTGGAATTTGTGATGTTCTTGCCGTGATTCAGCTGCTAAAATTGCAAGGGAACAATCAGAGCTGAGATGAAATAGGAAAACAAGCAATGTTGCTACACCACCCCAACCCCCCCTGATCTCTGAGGAGACTTTTCCAGATCTGTGTTGGAAGAAGAAGAACAAGGGAAAATGAAACCTGCAGATGGACTCTGGGTTAAATCAGCAGCAGCTGGGAGGAATCCTGGGCTCTGATGCATCGACTTCAGTGGGATTTGGAAGGAGCCCAGGAGGGAAAACATTTCCAGAGCTTTTTGCTTCCATTAAGGAACACGAGGTCACTGCAGAGCTCCCACCATCCCTCAGCCATCACAGTGGCTCTGGGTTATCATAATCCATGTATTATTGGCTTAATCCTCCTCCTCTGGAATTCCAGGAGCACACAGGACGTATTCCTGGCGCTTCCAGCCAAAGCCTGGAGAGTGCAGGCTGTGGATCCCAGCATGAGTAATTTGGGGGAGGAGGGAGGTGAGGGAGCAGGGAAGGAAAGAAGGAGCTTCTCCAAATCCTTCAGCTCCTCACTTGGACACAGTGAATGAGATATTTAAATAGGTTGCCTTGGAAACAATCAAAGAGGGGGGTCCTTGTGTGAGTGTGTGTGTTTGGGTAATCCCAAAGGGGGTATTTAATTGGAATCAACCACAGCTTTTTAAACTGTGTTTTAAATTGGAGAGAAATAAAGAGAAGGAGCTGCCAGAAAAGGAACATTAAATAAAAGGGGGGGAGGGAGGGGGGAGAAGAAAAACCCAACAGAACAACAAGCAACCCAGCCCACGTGAAACAAGATGGGGGGAGAAAGGGAAATCAAAAGAATAAATTTGCTGTAACTGGTAAAGGATTCATTAGGGTTACACCAGAGCTCGGTTCAGTGAAGGGAATGAACAGAATTGTGTCTCAAAGACCTGAACTTCAGGGGCCAGAAGGTCTTCTCCAAGCTCTTGCTCCCATGTTTAATGCTCTCCTGCATTCAAATGAGATGTCCCAGGGTCTGAGTGACAGGGCAGGGGGGGCTCAGTCAGGCACCCAGGGAGCAGGAGCCGGTTCCTGACCTCGTGGGAAGGGACAAGGTGCCATCTGGGATTAGTTCTGCATGGGCAGAGGTGCCAGAACACACCCAGGGAGGAAGGGCACTGATCCCAGATGGCAGCACCAGGCTCTGCTGCCCTGCACAGGATCAGCTCACAGGAGGGGCTGGGAGGAGTCCAGCAGCTCTGCAAGGCAAGGGACTCACTCCACGTCCAGTTTTGGTGCTATTTTTAGACACTGCACATTCTCATCCTCCTCTGGAGAGGAAATGGGGGAATGCTGGCTGGTCCTGCTGCCTTCCTAAAGCACTGGGAGCCGTGGATTGGTGGCTTTGTAATTTTTAATAATCACTACTGGACTCGTAAGGGCAGTTTTCAGCAGCTGGGAATGCCCAGGGAGCTGAAGGAATCCAAGCCTGAGCAGGACCAAGCTCATCCAGCCCCAGTTTGTGTAACCTGGGATGGAAGTGCCCTGCCCAGCACTGTGCCAGTGCCCAGGGAAGCAGCCTGGCAGGGCCCAGCCTCAGAGAGCCTGGCACGCTCCAGGGAGCAGCTGCGCCTCGTGGGCCAGAAATTAGGACACCCTGATCTCCCATCAGCTCGCATCATCACGTTCTGGCATCGTCCTGCCCTCCCACGTGGCTGTTCCTTGAGTGGATCTTCCAGTTCCCGGGTTCCCCGAGCCTCAACCTCTCCTCGCTTCTCCCCACTCCAGTTTTCTCCACAGCCCAAACTCCTCCTGCCAGGCTTTTCCCCCCCGGGGGGAGAGGAGCAGGGAAGATGTATGGCTGTGACAGAATTCCCCCCCTGCTGGAGCGTACGGTAAATTCAGAGCTCTGGGAGCCGAAGGGTTGGTCATCAGCGCCCCTCGAAGGGGCAGCACGAACCAATCCTCGCCAAGTGCCGCCGTGAAAAAAGGTGGCAGGGATCGGGAGCCATCGGGATGCAGGCGGGGAGCTGCAGCTCTGGGCGTAACAATGATTAATGGATCATCCCCGGCATCCTTCCTCCCCTCCGCCAGGAGGGAGCGAGCTGGGCTGTGACGGGAGGGGGATGAGAGCACGGATGATGTGCCTCCCGGAGGCTCCTGGCTTAGCAGAGCTCCCTCTCCTCCTGAACAGTCAGATTTCTTACAGGAACGGTGCCCTGCTCTGCCTCCAGCTTCCCAGGGACACTGGAAATCACGGCAGGCGAGAAAGACGAGGATGGAGGGACTTTGCAGAGCCAGGGCACGTGGGGCTGCTCCAGCAGGCTGCAATCAGCAGCACAGCCCCACTCGTGGCCCTGCAGGGAAGGGTCCTCCAGGCACTGCCTCGGGAGTGAGAGGCTCTCCCTTTGTGAGAAGGACTTGGAGACTTGCACAGAATCCCTGTGAGTTTTCCCTCGAGTGTCTCTGTGTCCCACTCCGTGTGTGTTGGTGCCAGGGATGGCAGCACTCGCTGTTATCCTCCTCTCCCACGCTGTCCCTCTTCCCCCTGGGCATCCCATTGAACACCTGTGCTGCAGGTGGCAAAACACCCATCCTCCTCGGGTGTGAGAAGGTTTCCATTGCAGGTGCCAGGTGTGAGGAGCAGATAAAGGCAGTTCCTTGGGTGGTTGCCACAGCTCCAGGCCCGGCTGTGCAGGGAGGGCTGGCCAGCAAACCTCCCCCTCTGGCAGAGCAGAGATGGCCACGGGCGGAGAGGGGCCAGAAATCCTGCACTGTGGGACTCCCCTGGGGAAAAACAGGAGGGTGTTTTTGCTCAGGCACCAGATCTCCCAGGTCTGTGTGGGGAGATAACGGGTGGGCACTGCTGGGGCTGCCTGGGGGGGGGGTGGGACCCTTCCTTCCACCCCCTGCCTCGGGCAGCCAGCAGCCAAACACAGCAGTGACCTGCCTGTCAGCCCCTCCTGGGCTCAGCCAAGTTCTCCCAAGCCATTTCCCTTCCCCCTGTGGAATGGCAGCAGCTGGGAGCAGGGTGGTTTGTTTGGCCTCTCATCCCTCAGCCTGATGGATGGGGACGCTGATGAATCGCTGCCGCTGTGGGAGAGTCTATTTTTGGTCCTCAGCTCCCATCTGTGGCTCTGTGGATCGTCCTCCTGCTCACCTGCCCCAAGAACAACTGCTGAAGGCTCCTGGGTGCCGTGCCCAGGGTCAGAGCTGGGCCTGGGGGTGGAAATAAAAGGGGATTTGTCACCTGCTCAGACCCACCAGCGTCTCCCAGGGAGCTCCCACAGACACTCCCGGGGCTGCCTCCAATCCCCACGGATTTCACAGCCCGTGGAGTGCCCAATCCCTGGGCATTTCCCAGCTCCAAAGGCGCTTCATTCCCAAGGGATTGGGGGCTGCTGGAGCTGCCGGGTCAGGGAATGACAGCTGTGTGTCCCTGGGGAGAAGGGCAGAGAGGGACACAGGGAAAACAGCCCCCTCAGTCACAGGGAAAGTTGGGAAGAGGAAAAATGTGGCCCAGGGCCGGGTTTGCCTCAGCCCCTGCACGGCTCTGCAGCAGCCACTTTGTGTTTCATTTTCTCTGCTGTTCCTCAGCGTAATTTCTATTATTTTCAGTCTCGTCTTCGCAAGGCAGAACCCTGGGTTGGGTTTGGGTACCTGCATCCTGTGACTGCACATCTCCCAGCGCCATGGGACGCTGATTTCATTTGGGTTTCTAATTTATTTCACAATACCGTGGAATAATTAGAATTATTAAAGCCCAAATGTTCTCTGCTGCCTGTTTCTATTAGGCAAAGCAGCTCAGGCTGCCGGGTCTTTGGGGAGGGAGGAGAAGGTTTGGGTTTTTTTTACCACCTCTCAATCTTTTGTCCTTCATGACCTTTACTTTTTTTTTATTTTATTTTTTTTTTCTAAAATTAACATTCATGCAAAAAAAAAAAAAAGGAAGCAGAAGGGGAGAATTGCTCTCTCTTCACATTGCACCAAACATTCCTGCTGGGGGAAGGTTATTCCTTGCACAGCCCTGCCACAGGGCACTTCGGAAGGGGGGGTGGATCTGCCCTTTCTCAGGCTAAATCATCAGCTCTGATGTGTTTTCCTTCTTTCATTATTGCTCTGCTCTCCCTGGAACACGAGTACTTTCCGTTTTGACTGTGGCATTACTGCCTGTGCTGGCAGCAGATGGAAAGCCAAGCTGGAGGTACAAGTCATGTTCCCATTAGGAGCCAGCAGTGAGATGTGATGGTTCCTGATGTGACCCTTCAAGTTGTTGATGGAGCTGTTTCTCAAAAGAAAAACCAAAAAAACCCCCCAAAAAACCCTCAAACTGAAACAAACAAACAACCAAACCATCAAGCCTGAGGCACAGCAAAGGGTGCTGGTAAAGTCCTGCCTTGGAGGTGTTGAGACTCTTACAACTGGTTTTGCTGGAGCTGGGAATTTTTTTTTAGCTTTCTATTGGAATAAATCAATCAAGTGAGAGCTTTGCTGGGGCTAAAGCAGGGGGGAATTTGCACGCTGGGAAGCCAAGCGGGCAGATTTCCAGAAGGGCTTGTCCCTGGATTGGAAACATCACTTTGGGGTGTAAATCAGCTGGAGCACATCAGGCCCAGGGAACCTTGAGTGCCCACGGGGAAAATGAGAATTTCTGTCTGCTGGGGAGAGCCAGTGGCTGTGGGAGGGGGCTGGCACCGGGGGTGACCTCGAGCCAGGCCACCCTTCTGGATAACTGGATAATTGGAGTTGATATCCCTTAACTCCTGCCTTGCCAACAGCTCCCCAGGGTGTCACTGCTGGGATCATTCTCCCCCAGCTCCAGCTCCAGCTCCTTTCCTCCCTCCCAGCCAGTGCTGCTGGAGGGCAAAGCCTGCACTGGGAGTCGCAGGATCCTGGGATGGTTTGGGCTGGAAGGGACCTCGGGGCCCGTCTCATCCCACCCCCTGCCTGGGGCACTCACCGGATCAGGCTGCGCAGGGAAGGGAGGGAAAAAATAAGGGAAAAGAGGTGATTTTGACTCATTTCACTTTCAGATGCAGTGCCTTAACGCTGCCACATCTGCAGGAGCCCTCGAGCCGGGGAGGGATTTGAAAAGCTCTCCGTATCAGAGCCTTTCCCTCGTCCCATCCCCTGCTCCCCCACCGGCCTCCTCATCCCCTGTTCTTTGTCCTCCCCGTGCCCAGCAGTCACCACCACGTCTCCCTTCATCCACAAAGAGAAGCCTTATCTTCTGATGGACACATCCAGCACATTCTCTGTGACATTTAAATCTCCCTTTGTAGCCAGCTCAGATATTCTCGCTGTTAAAAGGAGCGGCCCAGCCGGGTGATTTCATTACTGCAAATGTTATTACAGTGAAAGCCTGTTTAAGACATAATGTCACTGAAGGGAAAATAGGATCTAGCAGCAAGAACAGCCTGATGGAGGGTGCTGGGCTTCATCACAGCCTGAAAGAAACCTCTCAAACATCAGACCTGCTAATGGAGCAGCTTTTTTTCTCCATCGAATCAAACCAGCCACTTCCTCAAAGCCCTAAGGCGAGGAATTAGAAAGGAGATTGAATGGAATTAGGCACCCAACTCTCTCTGACTTTATATTTGAGCTCCTAAGCTGTTCTTGCTGCTTTGGAAATTAGAGCTGAGCTGCTGGGGTTCTCAGAGCCACGGACACGGTGAATGGAGAGGCTTTGTGGGAGCAGCAGCCACGGGCCTCTCAAAGGCACTGCAGCTCCCTGTCCGTGGCCACAGGCAGAGCATCTCAGCCCAGGAAACCCCCACAGACACGTCCCAGCCTCCCTGAATGAAGTCACTGGGAATCTGCCAAGGACTTGGCCCCAATTTCCACCCTGACGTGGCTGTAAATCCTTTCTCCTCCAAAGCAGATTTCCCGGAGGGGTTTGGATTTGCCGAGAGTAAAACCTGAGCTCCTGCAGCCAGGGGTGTCACAGGGGCTCAGCTCAGAGTGGGGGGAGAGTTACAGGGACCCCCACCCTGCTCCCAACCCTCTGCCCTCCGGGCTCTGCTGGCTGAGCGTGGGCTCTCTGTGAGCAGGGACATTCCACGATCCTGATGATCTGACACCTCCCTGAGGGATTCTGTGATCTGACACCTTCACGGGGGTTGAAACACTACGAGTCCCAGGTCAGCACCACCCCTGCCACCAGCCTGGAGGAGTCGTGGCCTGTGCCCCAGCTGCTCTGCTGACAGGCTGTGACAAGCTGCAGTGACCAGCTCGACAGAGAACACCAGGATTTCACGGCATGTTTTGCCACCAACTTTCTGGGGTTTTTTTTTCCAGCTTGTTTTCTTCCTTTGATTTTTTTTTTTCTTTTTTTACTTTTTTTTTAACCTCTTTGCTCTGCAGCAACTTCAAGGTATCCTGGGCTGCTCCTGACCCGAACAAGGCAGAGCATGACAGTCAAGTGCCCATAAACACCGAGAGCCTGCAGCAAAGCAGCTGCTTCCCTCCCTCCCCCTGCACGGGGCCCGCACAAATCGAGGCTCTGCGGGTTCTACAGCTGTCAGACAATGAGCCCGGTGCCGGCTATTTCCTCCTCCTTTTCCTTTCTTTGAATGGAAAACAGCTCAGCTCTGCCAGGGCTCAAGTGGCCCCTCCAGCAGCGAATCGATGGAGCCAAGGCTCTGCCCTGGGGCTGTGCTGGGGTGGGCACAGAGGGGTTGTGTTACTGCTCATCCTCCCTGCCAAGGGTTCCCAGCCCTCCATCACGCTCCTTACAGGCAGGCAGGTGTTTATTTTCGGGCTGGGAGGGGACTGAAGGGCACAAAACTGTCCCAGGGGGTGAGCAGGATGGGGAGGGTGGGCTGGACAAGGGGACAGCCCCTGGCAGGGTGGGCCCCTTGAGCTTTGGGATTTCTTCCCGTGCTCAGGCAAGGCAAAAGAAATCCTTCTGCCTGACCTGAGTGTAGGCAAGCAAAGAGTGAGGATTAGTCCTTATTGCATCATTGCTTTGATAAAGAGTCCATCCTGCCCTGGACTGACTGACCACACGACCTGAGCCTTTGGGATAAATCCTCTGTGAGGCAGAGAACCCACCTCTGCAATGCTTCATCCTCAGTGCAGTGACGGCACAGCCTGTGCCACGGGGAGCTGTAAAGCTGCCCAGGGCAGTGGGGGAGTCACCACCCCTGGAGGTGCCCAAAAAACCTGTGGATGTGGCTCCTGGGGACATCGTGGCCTAGTGGTGAACGTGGTGGTGGGTCCATGCTTGGACTTGGTGATCTCAGACATCTTTTCCTTAATGATTCCGTGGTTTTCCTCCCCCAGGGCCGGTGGGGTTTTTGCCCCTCAGCTGAGCCCACAATCCCTCCCGGGCACTTCCAGGAACTCCCGTCCGAACACATAGCATCACAATTCCGTCCGAAGCCCATCGTGGAACTGTTAGGGCTGAAAAGACCCCTGCAGAGCGCCTGTGGAACAGCTGGATGGAACATCTCCTCCTTCCATTTAGGGCTGGCCGTAACAAAGTCTGGCTCCTGTGCCTTCCAGGGGGCTTTGGACCCACATAATTCAGGGAAGGGACCGATCCCTGCTCTTTAATCCGGGCTGTGCAGGCCGTGGAGCATCCGCACGCCCGGGGAGCATCACCAGCAGCTCTGGAACTCTCCACGGCCGCCTTTTCTCTCCCCGGGTTGCTTTTTCCGCGGCTCTGGCAGCGCTCAGAGGTGATTTATGCATAACCAGAGCAGCCTCCAGTGGCTGGATCCGTGAACTTTTCCCACAGCCCTCCGTCTCGGCTCACGGGGAGGGTTTTGCAGACCCCAAGCCCAGCCTAGGAGGGGCTGGGGCTGGGGAGCGGGAGCAGCGGGGGACCCGCTGATGCTGCCGGGAGGGGATTTGGTCCCTAACTGAGCTGGCAGCAGCTGCTCGGGGCTGGTCCTGCCGCTACCCCACAACAGCCAGCCCTACAGGTGCCAGCCAGAGCCCGCTGCTGTGTCCCCGTGGCTCTGCTCCCCCATCATCTGTCTCTGCCAAGGAGCAGATGGCCCTGCTCGCTCTGCGGGCTCGGGGATGCAGCTTGCGGGGAAAATGAGGTTGCAGGAGCTGTCCTGCACCTGGAGCTGCCCGGGGGGAGCAGCTCTGGGAGAATCACTGCCAGGAAAGGGAGATGTTGGGGTGGGGGTGTTGTCTTTTAAATTCCCTCCCTGTGCCTTGGCCGTTTGGTTCTCAGAGTGGTTTCTGCTTCCCGGGGCAGAGCAGGGGAGAGGCAGGGCTGTGAGCTGCGGGGGGGACTGGGAGGAGGTGGGAAGCTGAGGAGGGTGTGTGTGAAGGTCACGGCAAATCCCGAGGGGGATTTTGTGCCGTCCTGAGCCTTCGGAGCAGCTCCAGGCCCTGAGAGCCTCGTGTGCCCAAGGACAGGAGCTCCAGGAGCAACACCCTGAGCTGATAAATCCTGCCAGGGAGCAAGGGGCAGCTCAGGCTGGGCTCCAGCGCTGATTTTATGGAAGACAAGGAGAGGAGGTGAAGGCAGAGAGGTCTGGTCTGTGTCTGAGGAACTTCCCTTATCAAAAGACAGATTGGTGACACTTTTCCTCGATGCAGCTGCCCAGGCATTTCAAAGCCTCCGAAATTTCATTATCTAAGGAACAGTCACTGGCTTTGTTGGGGACTTCTGGCTGCTTTACAAAGCAATTCCAGCATTATTATTGGAACAAAAACATAACAACTACTAATCCTCTGCTTAAATGACCAGTAAGTTCCCTGCAGGCAGCGCTCTGCCAAAACATTTATCCACCTAATTTTATTTCATGTAGTTTCTTTAAATTCAGATTTAACCTTTTGTGATGGGGGTTGGAGGCAGTTCTGTTCAGAAGCACATTTTACAGTCACCTGGGAATGTCATTCCCTGGTACAGGGGAGGGAGGGGGCTGCTGCTTGTCCACATTAAAAGGTGTCTTACAGAGCTCTGAAAGGACACACTTCCTTTCAGGTCACTCAGCGCCTGTTTTTTGAAGGAGTGTGGCCAGGCAGAAGTGAAAAGCTCAATCCCTCTGCAGGTTAAGTGGAGTCAACCCCCTTTTTTTTTCCGGAGGCAGGACAGGCTTTTCCCAAGCTGGCAGCATCACACACGGCCATGAGACACTGCTGGCTCAGCCAGGACCTCCTCGCTCATCCTTGGAGCTTCTGAGACTGTTCCCTGGGAAAAACACCACCTCAGCTAAAAACAAGGAGGATTTCCCAGGTTTCAATCAAACAGGAGCGGGGGGAGAGGATGCCAGAAATCTTGGAATGTGTCATTTAGCCTGGAACAGCTTCTTTTGGTGCCTCCTCGGCTTGTTTTCCCCACCACACTCCTACTTTCTGATTTGAGTCAAACTTTCAGCTGGAAAGCCGGCACTTCAAAGGGGGAGAAGGAGCATATTCTGCCTGGGAAATGTTTAACTGAAATATCGCGGCGCTTGTGAAATGAACGGCGTCGTTTAGGAGCTGTCAAAACAAAACCCTTCCATCTTCCCAAGTTTCCTCTCTTTTTTTTTTTTTCCCCCTCCCCGGGGGGAAAAAAAGAAAAAAATTGCCTGTCTTTGACATGAATTTGTAAATCCTTTGTTCCCTGTCCAGGCAGGGAGTTGGGATGAGATGACCCTTGAGGTCCCTTCCAGCCCCAAACCACGCCACGATTGTGTTTCCCATCACCACAAAAACCCTCCCCAAGGTTTATATTCCTTGCAAATGGATAAAACATCACCAAGCTCTGTCCGTGCAAAGGCTGGGGAGGGGGAAGGCAGAGGGGGGGAGGACGAGGTCAGCTGTATAAAATAGCTGAGGAGACTGATTCCCATCGTGGGGAATGATGGCACGGGCAGCACTTCACCGGCTTCCCCTTCTCCCCGCTCGCCTGTGGCTGTTGCTGTGCTGGAGGAGGAGGAGGAGGAGGAGGAGGGAGAGCAGGGCTGGCAGGAGGCTGTGGATGTCTGGCTGGTGTTGCTGCCGTGGGCTCCTGCGTGTGCCGGAGCGGGCGAGCCACGCGTGCCTCCTGCCTGCCTGGCCCAGCCGTGCACAGCGGGAGATAAACAAAGCTGCCTCTGGACATGTCATGCCTTAAAATAGATGTTCAGGCATCAGCCTCTCTCTCCAGCGGCGGCGGCAGCGGCGAGACATGGCCGACTGGAGCTGATCCTGCCCCCGCTCCCAGAAGGAATCCCAGCCCTCGCCAAGGTAGAGTGAGGGGTGGGCGTCCCCTCCCCACCGTGTGTCTGTCTGTGTGTCTGTGTGTCTGTCTGTGTGTGTGTCTGTCTGTCTGTCTGCCAGGGGGCCGTGCAACCAGGGTGGCAACTCCCCTGCCAGCCTGGCACAGGGGTCTGGAGCTGCCACGGGGGGAGCAGGGAGTGACCCCCTCTTTCCAGAGGGGGTGCCCCCCATGCCTAGGGGGATTTTGGGTGCCCTGAGTGCTGGGGGAGCTGTTCCCAGCCCTGGGACGAGGGGCACTGCCTTGGTAACACCTCGGGCTGGGGGCTGGCAGGGGGGTGAGCAGGGGGTGGGATGCTGGGAGCAGCTTTGGGCCTGGGGTTCCCAGCGCTGCAGCCCAGGGAAAGGTGTGGATTGCTGGTTTTCCAGCTGTGGCAGGAAGGGGGGCTGCAGTTCCTCCAGCTCCAGCTCTCTGCGTGATTCAGTTGCTCTTCCAGACCCCCCTGCTGTTCGTCTCTCAGCGCTGGTGACATGTTGGCTGTGCTGCAGCCAAGGTCACGCAAGGTTTGAGGGCCCTGCCCGCTGCCCTTCCCAGGTGGGCTTTGCCAAGTCTG